TAATGGCCTGCCATGTGGTTTGGTAATATCGGGACTGTGCCTTTTTACTTGTCAACCTTGGGGCTTCTCAGCCTCAGCAGCCAGCAGATGTCTGAGTGAAGAAACGCCTCTAGCTCCAGTGGGCCGGGAGCAGGAGGCAGAGCTGGACCCCAATCACCCAGCCCCTATAGCCTGGCACTTTGAACTTGGACTTAAAGCCTCCAAATTGTAAGAATAAACTCCTGTTTGTTAAGGCCATCCCATTTATGGTATATTCTTGTCAAAGCGGCACTAGGTAACCAGAACACAGACCATCAATTGCTTATATGCAAGTTTAAGTTGAAGCTGAAGAAAATTAAAAGTCTATGAGAGCCAAAATATGACATTTAGTATATTCCATCTGAATACACAGGAATCAGACTGACTACATCTGTGGCAAGAGGCAATGGAGAAGTTCAGTATCTTTGGCCAGAACAAGGCCACAAGCTGATAACAGACCATCAACTGCTAATATGCAAATTCAACTTGAAGTTGAAGACGATTAAAACAAGTCCACGAGAGCCAAAATATAACCTTGATAAAATCCCTCCTGAATTTGGAGACCATTTAAGGAATAGATATGACACATTGAACACCAATGACCAAGAACCAGAGGAATTGTGGGATGACATCAAGCACATCATCCATGAAGAAAGCAAGAGGTCATTAAAAAGACAGGAAAGGAAGAAAAGACCAAAATGGATATCAGAAGAGACCCTGAAACTTGCCCTTGAGCGGAGAGTAGCTAAAGCAAATGGAAGAAATGACAAGATAAAAGAGCTGAACAGAAGATTTCAAAGAGCAGCTCGAGCAGACAAAGCCAATTACTATCATGAAATGTGTCAAGACCTGGTGTTAGAGAACCAAAAGGGAAGAACATGCTCAGCATTTCTCAAGATGAAAGAATTGAGGAAAAAATTGAATCCTTGTGTTGCAATATTGAAAAATTCTTCAGGCAAAATATTGAATGATGTGTTGTTGTTGTTGTTGTATGCTGTCAAGTCGGACCCGACTCACAGCGGCTCCTCCTTGGGTTTCCAAGGCAGTATCACTATGGAAGTAGATTGCCCCATCTTCCTTCCGAGGAGTGGCTGGTGGAT